CCCGCTTGAGTCTCCGGAACCGTAGGTCGACGGACCCCCTGGTATAGAGGAACCATCACCCCGACCCCCCCCCCGCCCCTCCTAACCGGGGGTGTGAACTCAGCAAAAAAAATCTTCTTCTGATTATTGCCGCTAGCGGCGAGCCCGCTCGCTGTGCCTCCTCCCTGCCCGGCTTGGGGAGGGCAGCAAAATCTCAAGCGGGGTGAAAATTAATTTTCTCGCACGTGCAATGGACAACTAATGAGTCGCGTCGCGCTATTACCCATGAGGCCAGTACCTATCTCGGCAGCATTCATGAGAACTCTGCCATGATGTTTTTCATTAGGGCCTCTCTTTCTTTCTTCCTTCCTTCCTGCCTTATTATTTCATTCTTTTTTTTTACTTTTCGCAATTATCTCGGACGCAGAGTCCGCGAAAAAACGCATTATCCGCTCGATTCTTTGATGCGACAAACAAAACCCAGGTGGAACGGAGGCGACATAACAACAACAACGACAACAACGACGACGACGACGATGACGGCCAAGACAGAAACAAAAGGAGGCCGATAATGAATCCGGCGGAAGAGACATGCTAATATTACAATCCAATGTAATAAAGAGTTTGAAGGCCGAGCAATCTGTTCCGCAGTAAATTATTCATCGGCGTTGAGACGCTGGGGGAGGAGGGGCGGGAAGGTGGGTGGGGAGGGGCTCAAGCTTGTTTTAGGCGAGAAAAGCCCAGCCTTGATTTTTTTTTGCGTGTGACTTGAAAGCGATGAAGATGCATGCAGCACCATCACATATGGCATCCCCCCCACCCTCGGTAGCGAGATGTTCATTACCTCGCCTGGCATACAGGAGGTAGTGGGTTCGGTCCCGACGGCTGCTGTATATTTTGGAGTTTGCGTCTCTCTCTCTCTCTCCGTGGTGGCGTGGATCTTTCTTGGGGTACTCCGGGTTTTTCCCTTCCCCATTTAGTGCATTTTGAGTGCGGCATTTGGGCCGCGATACATTTCCGCACAGTGACGATGAGCCACTTCGTTGAGCTGTCGTTTGTGATGGCCAGATCGCTTCTGACAACAACAATAAAAATAGCTATATATACATATAGCTCAGTGGGCCTTTCCTGGTAACATTTAAAAAAAAAAACTTGTTTAAGTATTCTTTGGGTCTTTCGGTAAAGCCACGTAGATCGTGGCTTTACCGAAAGACCCACAGAACACGAATTCCTGCAGTCACGAAAGCTTTAAGTCATAGTTTAAGTAGTTTATAGAATGAGCCAGCGACCCTCTAGGGATTCACGCGAGTCCCCTCCCTCCTTTTGTGCCTCTCGCACAACGGAGCCAGAGAGCACTGGAGATCAATTGCTTGAGCGCTCTAAAAAGTTTAACAGTTTAGAGAAGCAGACAGACAGGCAGACAATAGATCTCTCTCGCTCACTCTCTGCCATTCCTTCGTGTAATCCGTCTCTCCGCGTTCAAAATAATACAAGTGGGGACTTTATGTGTTTTTTTTGTCCGTTTAGTTCGAGACAGACCGACGGACGCACGCACGGTCTCTCCGCATGGGTGCGTAACTAGAGCACCATTGATCCGATGCGAGTCAAGGCCATATCGCAGCAGTGTGCGTTGCCGCAAAGGGCGGTGTTGTACGTATGCATGTTGAACTTCCTTCGCGCCGTACGCAACCAACAAGCGCCAATCGGAGGTGCGGAGGGAGGACGAACAAAACGCTAAACACAAAAAGGAGCTTTTGAAGAATTTAGTTTTTGTTCAATCCAGATTTAAAGGTGCATAACTCCGGTGGCGTCCTAATATGTGGAACTCAATCTCACAAAAAAAACAAAACAGGTCCGCGCTATGGCCAGACGACGCACGTGTTGGCTATGGTGCACGTGGTGGCTATGGTGCACGTGTTGGCTATGGTGCACGTGGTGGCTATGGTGCACGTGGTGGCTGCCCTGTAATCCAGCACTGGAGGCTGTAGCGAGGGTTGATGGGTCACCGCTCCAACGCATATGTAGCAAAGTGCGGGCAGCACGGACTCCCGGTTCGAATAACAATGTTCTTCACCGTCTTCGTGTGCTCATCTCGCAGCACAATTTGGTTAAGCGAGATTGATTTGCGCATCTGCCTTGCCATTGGATGCACTGAATTATAGGCGTGATTTATACCTCGGGGAGGCCCAGAACTGATGTTAGATAGCCATGGCTGGAAGTCGAACTCAGGTCGCTGGGTTCGTAGCGCAATTGCATTCACCGCAACCACCATGGTTTGCAACATTTGCACACAAACACACACGAGAAAGATCCCCAATATAGCCATAAGGTACCTTCTAAGATGGTCGCTAACAGCACTTGCCCCACACTCACACGTTCACACACAAGCGCCTCGTCCTACCACGAAGATTCAGTGCCATGGGCAGAGCACTTGTGCCAGGCAAGGGGGACTTGGAGGCCTTCCCGTGAAGTACCGTATGCTGGACAGCGGGAGGTCTCAGGGCAGGTCCCAGGTGTTACGGGCACACGGTGTGAGACTGTTCCATGGCAGATGTACCACCTGTGCTCCCCATTGTGACACTGCACACACAAAGACAAATATCTCCCGTATAGCTTCTAACAGACTGTTGGGGCAAGTGCTGTTAGCGGCCACCTATGAAGGCCGACAGGGCACACGAGGGGGTGGGTGACCAGCACCACGCCCGGCCGCCTTTGTCTCCCAAACGTCGATGTTTACACACCACACCAGGTACTCATATGAGGCTGAGTCTACTGAGGTTCAGATAATCGTCACCGATGGTAGCGGTGAGCGTGACTCGAACTCGAGTTGCCGCGTTCAAAGCGATGCGGCGCTAACCATTGTGCCACCGCTCTCTCTTTCTTTACGATCAGAGGAAACAAGAAGATGCTCGGTGTAGTCGGCACTTTGCTTCGTTCATCATTTAGTTTTTTATGCTTTGCTTCATGTGCCCCCCCCCCCCTTTTAAATGAAAGATTTCACAAAAGATTTCTCGCTCTGCTCTCCTTACCCCTTGCCGCTCTCTCTCTACCCCCTCTCTCTACCCCCCCCCCCTCTCTCTCTACCCCCTCTCTCCCTATTCCATGGCTATGTTCCCCCTGTTTTATATGTAATATTTGTAAAAAAATGTTTTTACTACGACAAGTGCTGTATCTGCACCCAGCCCTTCTCGCAGTCCTACGGCCTCCGACGGGGTAGCTCATATCTGCATGAAGAGCTCTCCGTCTTCTGCTACCGAGCACACGGCCTCCTCCAGCGCCCACTCTCTCTCCCCTTGCTCACACACACGCACAGACACACACACGCGCACAGACACACACACGCACAGACACACACACGCACTTAGACACGCACAGACACACACGCACAGACACACACACGCACAGACACAGACACGCACAAACACACACACGCACAGACACAACAACAACCGCCATTCGCCACTAAGTGGCGGTGACGTCACCACGACGCTTGTGCCAGGCTATGTGCACCCTGAAGCCACGTGAAGTGTCGAACGCCCGCTGGCAGGAGGTCACGGGGCAGACCCAGGTGCCACGGGTCGACTGACTGAGATGACTGGCTGATGCACCACCTGTGCCCCCCTACTGTGCCAACCTGTTGTGCTTTAGCCACCCGGCTCTCCGCTCGTTGTTCTGAGCGGTCGCTCCTCCCGCCCTCCGTTGTTGTTGGAGGGCGACTGCCCTCCAACTGCCCAGTAGCATCCTTCACGAGCCTCCTCCACAGAGGCCGATCTTGACACCGCTGGTACCAGTCATCGGCAAGTCCACTCAGCTCCACGTCCTCCTGTACCACATCACTCCATCTCCTCTCTAGCCCGTGCCGCGACCGCTTAGCCCCCTCAATCCGGCCAAACAAAAGCTGTTTCGGCATGCGGTGGCTGGGCATGCGGGCTACATGACCCAGCCATCGCAGCCTTGCCTGCCGGAGGAGCTCACCGATGGGACCCTGCCCAGATCTTTCAAGGATTTGTGAGCTCCTCACACAATCCAGTCTGGTTAAACCCAGGATGGATCGTAGGCAGGCCAGCCTAAATGTTTCTAACCGGCGAAGATGTTCCATTAGGGGGGTCCACGTTTCGCAAGCGTAGAGAAGGGAGGGAATGACCGTGGCCGAGAAGACCTGAAGCTTAGTGCGGAGCGACAGACCAGGTAGCTTCCACACAGCGTTACGCAACCGATGAAAAGATATTGCCGGTCGACTGATTCGGAGTGAGACCTCTGCTGTTAAACTGGAGCAAGTCATAAGCACACTGCCCAGGTATGGGAAACTCTCCACTCTCTCCACAACTGCCCCATCACCGATTGGGAGTTGTGGGGGTGGAGTGTCCGATGGTACAAAATACACACACACGCACAGACACGCACACGCACACGCACAGACACACACGCACAGACACACGCACGCACAGACACACACACGCACAGACACCCACACACACGCACAGACACACACACGCACAGACACACACACGCACACACACACGCACAGACACACACGCGCACAGACACACGCACACACACACGCACAGACACACACACGCACAGACACACACACGCACACACACCCACACACACGCACAGACACACACACGCACACACACGCACAGACACACACACGCACAGACACACACACGCACAGACACCCACACACACGCACAGACACACACACGCACACACACACGCACAGACACACACACGCACACACAAACGCACAGACACACACACGCACAGACACACACACGCACAGACACCCACACACACGCACAGACACACACACGCACACACACGCACAGACACACACACGCACACACACGCACAGACACACACACGCACACACGCACAGACACACACACGCACAGACACACACGCACAGACACCCACACACACGCACAGACACACACACACACACGCACAGACACACACACGCACACACACACGCACAGACACACACACGCACACACACATCGCGCACAGACACACACACGCACACACACACGCACAGACACACACACGCACAGACACACACAAGCACATATCTTTTCCTGTTGGCTTAGCTGGCGCAGCAGCGGTCGGATGCCGGCGCACCTCGGCAGATGCCACGCTTGAGCTGGAAATCAGCCAGAGGAGAGAGAGGGGGAGAGAGAGAGGGGGGAGGGGGGAGTGGAGGAGAGACAGAGAGATAGACGCTGGCTCGTTCACCTCACCGGCAGGGCGAATCCCTCGCTTACAACCTCAAGCAGCTCCGGCGTTTCACCCCGTGCCAGCAGTGGCACAGTTGGCCACACTGCAGGGGTCTCTCTGCCATATGTGTGTGTTGTGTGCACTGCGGCCGGATTTACGCAGCGGCTTTTAGGTCGAGCGGTGGCTTGCGCTGCCGCTACTGCCGCTGCTGCTGTCGTTGTGAAACTCCCATCCCGTGGGGGTCTCGAGGGGGGCACCACCCCCCTGGCTCGGTAGGAGAAAAGGCGGCACAACAAAGTGCGGACTAATCTAAAATGAAACTATAAATCATGTAAGGCCCACTGAGCGATGCAGCTCTTTTTCAGAAGCGACCTGGCCACAAATGATAACTCGACGAAGTGGCTTGTCACGTGGGAATTTCTAGCAGCCAAATACTCTAAACGCACATGTTCTGAATGTGGAGGAAAACCGGAGAAAAATCCGCGCGATCACGGGGAGAGGAGAAAGAACACGCAAACTCCAAATATACAGCAGGCGACAGCGTTGGGATCGAACCCACGACCTCCTGCATACCAGGCGAGGTAGTTAACCTCTCGCCACCGTTTCCCCCATCTGTGTTGTCCGCTCGCGCAAGGCGTGGGTTTTCTCGAGTGGCTTCGGTTTCATCCTTACACTTCTAGAATAATTATCATCACTCATCGTTCAATGTCTGAAAACATCTTAAGTGAAAAAGAAAAACAATTTTACATCGCCTGGATAAAAACGTAATTATAATGTGTGTTTTTTTTTAAAAAAATAATTATTATTATTATCAAGGGCTGCTGCAGCCTGTGTGCCTCGGATTTTTAAGCGAGGCCCATATAAAAAATAACATACATTCTCATATTTTACAAAAAAGATTCACAATTGATTTTTGGGTTAGGCTCCGTCATGATCTGGCCACATATGTGTCGCGAAACCCTCGACCACCCGACACAGACAAAGGCATCGATTTGTCACGCACACAAGTGTTTAGCCCGCCGATTATTAATTAATCCGAACTATTGTTTGACCTTATTTCAGCTCACTACGCCCGGCCGCCTTTGTCTCCCTATTGTCGATGTTTACACCCTGCGCCAGGTACTCGTTTCAGGCTGAGTCGACCTAGGGGAGGCGTGGGACAGTTTCAGCTAATCGTCACCGGTGTTGGCCGTGAGCAGGAATGGAACTTGGGTCGCCGGGTTCGTAATGCAGTGCGGTAACCGCTCCACTAAAGAACCAAAAATACGCTCCACTATCCTCGATATTAAGGCCATGTACGTACACATACACAAAGACAAGGTCCCCCGTATAGCCTCAACAGCTTCTTGGGGCAAGTGCTGTTAGCGCGTAACACCTTTGAAGGCCGACACGGCGCACGAGGGCGTACTCATTCGAGGCTGTGTCGACCTAGGGGAGGCCCAGGACCGGTTCAGATCATCGTCACCGGTGTTGCTGGCCGCGAGCGGGAATCGAACTCGGGTCGCCGGTGCGCCGTCAACCCGTGGACGGCTGTAGACGGCACCACCGCGGAGAGAGTCACGGGAAGATCGTTTCGTCTGAAATTCCCGATAGGGTTGCGTGCAAAAAAATAACCCCTGCATCTATTCGCGCGCATTGCCGCTTCACCGCGAACAACGTGTTACCATGAGCCGTTCGTGGCACCCGCGATTGCGGCACAAACGCAGCGCCCGGAGCGAGACGCACCATCATTTCTCAATGCGGCGGGCAGTCCCCGTGGAGTCTAATGGTCAACGGCACAACAACCGGACAATGAAACCCAGAGGTGGCCGGTTCGATTAGATTTCCCGGCGCGGCAGTTTAAACAAATGGTTAAACGAAAATTTCGATGCCCCAGCCTACCTGCCTGCCTTCCCCGCCCTCCCCCCTACCTCCCACCGCCTCCTAGGTAGGTCGCGCGTGACGGTGGTGGAGTTGGGGAAGCGGTAGTGTGGCGGTTAGCGCGCTGTGTTACGAAGCCGGCGAACCTGGGTTCGTTTCCCGCTCACGGCCAACTCGTGTGACGATTTTTTGAACGGGTCCCTGGCCTCACCTAGGTCGACTCAACCTCAGATGAGTACCTGCTACAATGTTTAAACATCGCCACTCGGGAGACAAAGGCGGCCGGACGCGGCGTTGACCACCTATACCCTCGTGTGCCGCGTCGCCCTTAATCAATGCTCGCTAACAGAACTTGCCCCCAACACTCTGTTCAGGCTGTACGGGTGATCTTTGGAGTTGAAAGGCCAGCCTGGCACCGCACTTTGTAAAACGCAATGAGTAATTCCGACGCAACGTTTCAAATAAAAAATAATCCGAGAGTATTTTTTTTTAAACTCAATGCATACCGGCATTGGTTTATTCATTCAACCATTAGTCCGTTCAGCTTCTCGGCGTGTGAAATTTAATCAGGGAGAAGTTCTATGCTCTGCTCTTTGCTTGGGCGGCGAGAAAGAGGCACCCTTTCCTTTACTGGAGATGGATAATTATTTTCTGATCGGCGGAGTCTTGGTTCTCTCCGAGTGAGATGTTTGACAGTTTGGGTAAAATGAGCCGAGCACTTAGAGACCCGACATTAAAGTCAGGAGAGAGGAGGGAGCGAGGGGGGGGGGAAATGTTAATTGGGCTCTTCTCAGATTGAATGTGTCTCGTACAAAGGAAAAAAAGTTATACGTTTTTATAATATTCAAAGATTAATGCAGCAGGGTGGTGGGGGGGCGGGGGGCGGAGGGAGGGGGAAGGTTGGGGGAAGGGTTTCCTTCCCTGGGAATTTTGACGTTTTTAATTTAATTGTGAAAACCGGTGGCTGTCAAATTGAGACGGCCTCTCTCAATGGCTCTCTCTCTCTCGTTGCCAAATTGTTTTTTCCCCCCAACTGGCGCTGTTATTATTATGATACGTTTTTTTATCTTCCTGTCCAAAATAACGGCGAATAGCGGATGGCCTTTTGCTCCCATAAAAAAAAGGAATGCCGCGAATTCTGTATAAACTCAAAGTGAATTATAACATCGACGTGTGGCGAGCAATTTATAGTTTCAAGCGTCATCCAGACACGTGTAAAAATAAAATGGCGCACACCCTCTGTGCATAGGCCCAACGAGCCCCTTGTGACGTGGGTGTGGGAGTTGGTATCACGTGACTGCCCATGCGTGTCGATTCAAACTCGTGGTTTTTCACGTCGACTGCTCCTCTGTTATACTGACGACGACAGCAGTTGTGGTGGTTTTTCGTCATTTACTTAGATTTATTATTGAAGTGTTTTATCCGGCCAGTTGACTCTGGGGTAGAGCGTTCCGGCTCGCAATTGGTAGGATTGAGGGTTCAAATCCTGGTCAGCGGTTGTCCTATGTACAGACTCGTCCCCGTCATATGAATGTGGAATTTCCGTCACTGGCTCAGACGGCTGTAAACGGAAGAGAAGCACCAACCTCAATGTGTCAATGGAGTAGAAAATAACTTTGGTTGTTGACTTTCAAAAAACAGACCTTGACTTCGAGGGAAGAATCCTTGACCTTGTAACGACGATTCTGTGACTTGTAAGGAAGGGTCCTTGACCTTGTAATGAAGAGTCCTTGACTTTGTAAGGACGAGTTATGGACTTGTAAGGAAGAGTACTTGACCTCGTAAGGAGTAGTAATTGCGTTTGTAAGGACGAGCGCTTGGATGAAGGAAGGTGTGAAAGTGAACCACTGAATGTGGAGAGCGCATCAGCGGGATCACGTGGATATTGGGTTTTACGGTATAATCCTCTAATGATGTAATGATGATTTAGCAAAGCTATGTTTAGCGAAACGGGTCCTGCCTGCTCGTGTGTCGGCACAAGGCCTAGGATTTGAGCTCTGGAACAAAGCGAATCGGTGGAGCGCATCAGTGCGGACGTCTTCATGACTGTCCAGTGCAGCTTGCTCGCCGATCCATTTCCGGGCTATTCGGGCACGATGTCCGACGTTTTGCTGCACGTGTTAGGGACAACTTCGGGAACTTGAAATTCACGAATGAAATTCTGTCGCTTGTTTTTGCGTGACAGAGCTTTGGGCCTTTGTTCAGCAATTGCGATTAAAAAAAAAAGACACTTCGTCTCCGTGGATATGTATATGTGCGTTTGTGTGTGTCAGTCCTTGGTGGGTGTATGAACATCGCCACTAAGGGAGGCAATGTGGCCGGGCGTGGTGCTGGCCACCCATCTCCTCATGTGCCGTGGCGACCTTCATAGGTGTTGCACCAACAGCAATTGCTCCAAAGAGTCTTCGTCTCTGCCTATGTGTGTCTGTGCACACGAATTTTTTTGTTCAATCAGCACCTTGATGTCGGTTGGATGTTTGAATCTCAACAAAGCAACATGAAGTTGTCCATGGGGGGGGGGGGGGGGGGGAAACAGGTTCGTTGAGATGAAGTCCAACATACTCAGAAGTGTATCCTTATGACTTATTGACAGCGATAGCAAATGCATTTATGTTTCACGGTGTGCAACACGAAAATATAAAATGCAAAAACAGAAGCGGCGCTGCTATATTATTGGAGAAAATTAATTATTCTTGTAGCAAAAAATAATTAGAATTAGTTACAATTGTAATGAGCTTTGCATGAATATTTTTTTTATTGCACGAAAATCCACGTAGCCTACCCAGCGTCACACGCAGCGTACAGAGTGTCAGGCATTAGGCACATATCACCAAAACTACATATATAATTGGCATTACACACAGCAACGATCATCGTCCTCCCCCCCCACCCTCCAACAAGCAAACTGATGCCCCAGGTCGCTCTTGAATATGAGACTCAATCCTGACCTCCCGATTACTCACCGAGCTAAACAAAATAAACTTCATCTCACTCGTTCACTCACTCGTGCAGTCATTCATTCACCCACTCACTTCCCTCAATCTCTCACCCACCGACTTACGCACT